AAAAATAAAAAGAAAACATAAGTAATATTATATTCACACAGCGGAGAAAAACAAACAATCTGTGCTGTTTAGTTAAAAGTTACTTACACCAGCACAATAAGTCATCCAAATGATGAATAAATCAACATGGCCGCGATACACTTACCCGCAAATAATAAATAACTTTACTAAAGTTACTAAAGTCAAGTTAAAATTAAATACTTGATTGACGATCGATTATAATACGAATTGGAAAGTAGAAGTCCGAATATACGATACGAGTCGCGCAAAATACGTCTGGATCAACCAGAGACCGGCACAAAACTGGCCGCATACTGACTGCATAAGCAATCACTCGGCAGTTTATGATAAGAAAGCTAGAGGTGCGCAAAGCCGGCGCGACGATGGCATGCGACCTCGTGCGCGAATTGCAATAGATACGCAAACCCGATCAAAACTAAACAAAGATGCGACAAGATGCGGCATGGGGTGCTGGCAATGACGACACACGGCAATGCGATAAGAAAGTGTACATTGTGTTCAAACAAACACAATTCTTGTGTCGAAGATTCACGCTTGCTGATAAATATAGAAATAAACAATACAAGTTTATTTTACAATTTCTAGTCCATGCTATTGCCATCTATAAATGATACAGTAGTTTAGAAATTTAAATTAGTAAAGGTAACAAAAAATTACAATTTGATTTGCGTAATTCTGATTTCTTATGCTGACAGATTGCCAGATTTTACATTCAATATTTAAGTGATATTTAATTTGAACATGCATCGTATCTCGTTTACCAGGTAACACATTAGTCCGTAATCATCTGCTGATAATAAAAATGTTTTGAATTTTTGATGATTTTTATAATAAACTATTAAAATTAATATAAAATTGTTAGTTATATTCATGAAAGAATTGAAGAATATTTGCTTAAATTTACGGTGCTAATATAATAAACAACAACAGTGTGTTTTGATTCCACGAAATAAAGATTCGATACCTGCAGGTAAACAAACTTATCTCTTGCGTGAAATCGCGTGATCGCACACCGACACGGTGTGCACTCACTACCACCAACAAGCAATATTTAATGCAAAACTGTACATCGTAGCGCCATCTAACCTTTGAAAATATTTATCAACTTAAAAAATATTCAAAACACATTTATCAAATATACCTACGTACATTTTTCTGCCGGAAGAAAAACCAAATACATGATTGAGTGATTGTCACCTTCCTATCGAAATCAAGTAGTGTATGGTTGTAAAAAACTTCACGGAACGGTGAACACTCTAAATAATAAAAGAAAACATAAGCTAAAACAAAAATATTTCATACGATTTAGTAATATTATAATCACACAATGGAGAAAAACAAACAATCTGTTAATTAAATTAAATAGTGGTTTGTGGATCGAGTATAAAGAATACTTGGGTTGTGTTGATAATTTTGAGCATTTTTAACTTATAAATGGATTTTTAACTGAAAGTGTCTATTTGAACTGGTTTATTGATAAATCGACAAAATTACCAATATTTGAAGGGTATTTCAAGACACATCCAAAGGGTTTATAGAGTTAAAAAAAATATGCATAAAATAGAGAGTCACAAACTAGCAAACAAAACACGTGAAGCCGATTAGAGATTTAAGATACAAAAGCAACAATCAGGCAACTAACGTGAGTTAAAACGCAGCCGACGGAACGCGACAATATTGCATTACATCGTGGATTAAATGCGACTATTTTCAGAGTTTATACGTACTTGATTGATCGTTTTTCCTTGGTGGGTGATGAATCTCCATTTGACTGCTTAATTAGTCGAATGCTAACAGAATATCGTATTTATGTTACACACTTTTTACGTTTTCATGGGTGAAATACTCCACAAGAGGCACAAATTAATAATTAAATGAATACACAAAACAAATCCACTAGGAATTCTTAGCCGCCGGACGGCAAACACGTGCGTATCTTGTAAAACCACTCAATTCTGGGTTCCCCGCGCTATTGAGATAATAGTACAGCCGCACTCGTCAGGTAATTCTAAATGTTATCTTTGCTGACCGATTTTAATTCCACTACCGACTTAAAATCACAAGAAACTCGATTAGTCGCCACGAAAACCGACGATCAAGTAAACGCGTCTTTACCACGCGGCAGAGCAGAATCGACTAAGTAAGAAATAGAACAAACACTGCTGAACGAACCGGACGAGCTGCAACGCAATAACAAAAAGTTATTGTACACAAATACCGATAAGATTCAAAAGTGAAAACTATGAACAATTCCTGTTGTGGGTATAGTCCAATGCAATGTAAAGATTTTATATTGTGAACGTACTCTCTTTCTCGTATAAACAATGCACCCTAAAATCCCGAATTTCCTCGGAGATAATCGGAACTGAAAAATCTAGGAAAAACACGAAAAATCGCCTCTCTTATAACTTTTAGTAATTATTTGTGAACTCTTACTTCAAATAGTTAACGAACGTATTTCATTGTCTTCGTCTATAAACAATTTTCGCAAGTTTTAAAATCTTCAATCACATTACCAGGGTGACGATATAAGTGATTCGGGTTCGGGGACACCGTATGAAGTTAGCGGTAGAAGTGACTTCCATTCAGGGTACCGTACGAGGCTAGCGGTAAAAGTGACTCTCAATCAGGGCACCGTACGAGGCTAGCGCTAAAAGTGATTCGGGTTCGGGACAACGTATGAAGTTTGTGGTAGAAGTGACTCTCATTGAGAGCAACGTATGAAGTTGGCGGTAGAAGTGACTCCCATGCAGGACACCGTACGAGGGTGACGGCTATCAGGGCGGAATTTCGTGAAGGGAGCAAAATTGCATTTTGAAAATCGATTATTGCGCTAACAGAATCCGAAGAAAAAACTAAAATATCACAAACCACTAACCCAAACATACAGTTACGCAGTTAATATGCAAACAATATGCAGTTAACACGAAAATGTCTGACGGGTTCCTACGGTGCCCTGAACACGAGTCACTTTTACCGCTAGCCTAGTAAGGTGTAGGGCTTCACACGAGACGAGACTGGACGATACTATCAAAGGTATCGTCTCGGTCTCGTATCGCTTTATGAGACGATACGAGAAAAGTCTCGGTATCGTGTGAAGCTTTAAGTAGAACTCAGTTTTAGATCTTTGCAGTTCAAAAGTTTAGTCATTTAATTGCTAATTGCATGTATTGTAAAGTAAATCCAAAATACATACATAGTTTAAAATATTAATTTTAATTTCATCACTTTTAATTGAAAATATATTTTTAATGTTTCAAATTTTTAAACGTTAATGTATACTAGGGTACAATAATCGAGTTGATTTGTGTTGAAAGTAAGCGGCGCACGTCTACAATTCCTAACTTACCCAGATGTATACAATATCTTTGCTTCAAGAAGTACAGAAAAACACAAAAATATGTCTCCGGATGTGTAAACAAAGACAAAATTTTCATAAAACTTTCAAAAAGTCAAAAGGTCATGATATTCGGTTACTGACTTGTTATTTTGAATATACAAAAGAAATATTTCACAGATGGTCATATATTGGATTTCTTATGTTGGACCTTTTCCCATTTTTCTAATAACAACTTCATAAAAAAGTGACGAGACCAATAACGAGACCAAAAACGAGACTCCGACTGTGGTATCGGTATCGCCGAGAAATTGATAAAACACGTCTCGTCTCGGTATCGTCTCGCTTTTCCGAGACGAGACCGAGACGATACGAGAAAAGTCTCGGTATCGCGTGAAGCCCTAGTAAGGTGCCTTGAATCGAGTCACTTCTACCGCTAACAAATACCACCCGACGGAGAATTTAATTCCGCATCTCTTGACGCCGCGCTGAAGTTAGTGAGCAGCATAGATCGCGCGCGAATCCGAAAAAATACAAGAATTTCACGAGAAAGGGTGACAAAAATCACCTTTTATTCAAATTTTCTTGGGTTGCAGGTCGAATTTCTGCAACAAACAAATACCACCCGACGGAGAATTTAATTCCGTATCTCTAGACAAGGCAGTTTGTGCGCGAATTGCAATTGACATTTTTACCTGGCATCAAAACTAAACTAAGATGCAGCAACATGCAGCGTGAGGTGCTGGGAACGACGACACACGGCAATGCGATAAGAAAGTGTAGGTATATTGTGTTCAAACAAACACAATTCTTGTGTTGAAGGTTCACGCTTGCTGATAAATATAGAAATAAACATTAAAAGTTTATTTTACAATTTTTAGTCCATGCTATTGCCATCAATTAAAATTTGATTTGCGTAATTCTAATTTCTTATGCTGACAGATTGCCAGATTTTACATTAAATATTTAAGTGATATTTAATTTGAACATTCATCGTTTTTCGTGTACTAGGTAACACATTAGTCCGTAATCATCTGCTGATAATAAAAATGTTTTGCATTCTTGATGATTTTTATAATAAACTATTAGAATTAATATAAAATTGTTAGTTATATTCATGAAAGAATTGAAGAATATTTGCATAAATTTACGATGCTAATATAATAAACAGCAACGGTGTGTTTTGATTCCACGAAATAAAGATTCGATACCTGCAGGTAAACAAACTTATCTCTTGCGTGAAATCGCGTGATCGCACACGGACACGGTGTGCACTCACTACCACCAACAAGCAATATTTAATGCAAAATCGTACATCGTAGCGCCATCTAACCTTTGAAAATATTTATCAACTTAAACATATTCAAAATTCATTTAACAAATATGCAACAAGGTTAATATTGCATTGAAATTGAAAACAACGAAAGTTATACACAAAACAAACCAGTATTTAACATGACGTTCCTGTGTTTCCATACTTCGTGATTATTTATTTATTGTTTCATGTTTCTTGGAATTTTTTCCGGCGGTGTTCATAGCAACGTAAGAATTTAAACGAGTACTAATAGAATAGTGGCGCGCTCTACCGGCGAATGTTCTGTTCCCTAGACAGAGACCATTCGATTAACATGACGTTCGGTCTCCTGTCGTTGTCCATATGATCAACGCTGCATTTGTCGATGCGGTGGATTTGGTGAAAATCGTGACGTGTCCCGACGTATTCGTTGCCGCAAAAACATCGAATGCAGTTATAGCGAAATGGCGAGTACAAAATACCTAGGTTTATTTCTCCTGCTGGCGCTTTGCGGATACTCCAACGCCTTGTATTTTCACATCGGCGAAACGGAGCGGAAATGTTTCATCGAAGAAATCCCCGATGAAACGAACGTTTTAGGTTAGTGCCTTGCAAATTTCTATTTATAGTAGACATTATTTACCTTGCAATTTTATTTTAGTTAACTATAAGGTGGAATTATATGATCCACGAAGTGGAGGATTTATGCCTTCATCGCCAGGCATTGGCATGCACGTCGAAGTCCGAGATCCCGACGATAAAATCATCCTTTCACGAGTTTATAGCTCAGAGGGGCGCATCTCATTTACGTCCCACACTCCAGGAGAACACATAATCTGCATGTATTCAAACAGCACAGCATGGTTCAGCGGATCACAACTGCGTGTCCACTTGGACATTCAAGTTGGCGAGCATGCAGTTAACTACGGCGATGTTGTCCAGAAAGAGAAGCTCTCTGAATTACAGTTGCGCATCCGACAATTGCTCGATCAGGTTGAACAGATCACCAAGGAACAGAGTTATCAAAGAGTAAGACATACAGTCACAAATTAGTACAATGAATTAATTTAAATATAAATTTTAGTTCCGTGAGGAAAGATTCAGACACACGAGCGAAAGCACCAACTCCCGAGTTGTCTGGTGGTCGATCACGCAAACAGCCGTACTGTTGATAATGGGAGCGTGGCAAATGAAGCATCTGAAGAGCTTCTTCGAAGCCAAGAAACTCGTCTAAGCACAATCGCGCCGCATCAATTGTGCAATCAAATTCATTTTGTACTGTTCCATCATTTTGTGATCAAGTTATTATTTTGTCATGTTTGTTTTCAATGTGTTTTTGTATGAAACAAATGAGAGCTAAATCATTATCAGACAAACATCTTAAATACATAAAATAAATAATTTACTACTTTCTTTTAAAAAAATATATTCTGAATTTTATCATAAACCTAACTTATTAAAAACTTCTATATTTTTACAAATTATTCAAGCAAAACCCATAGCTTTGTTTAAATAATTCCTAAATAAATGCTTGGATGCTTTAGGATATTTCTTCAAATCTTTGAGATTTTTCTCCAGAGTGTTCTTCAAACCCTTTGGATTGCAATAATAAACATAATTATCACATTCCAATTGTTCAGCCAATTCAAGCTGATGGTTGTCCATGAGTTCCTCATTTATAACAACAATCAGTGGTGTGCCAGCTTTGAGCACTTCCAGGCATGTGCCGGCACCCGCGTGACTTATCACTAAATCCGAACGCTTTATTTCCTCGTTGAAGTCTTCGATGTACTTGACGTAATCTAGTTGTAACACCGAATGTGTTTTCTCTTTGATGTCGCCTTTGCCATTGCCCACTTGATACGTGACTTCGGTGAAACCCAGCGATTCCAGTTTGTTCAAAACAGCGTCTGAATGTGCATGTTCAATGAGTTTATCGAAACGTGTTGTACCAACTGTGACCAAAACTCGTTTACAAGACATGATTAACTATTTAAACAAAGTTTCCGAATACACTCAAAGGTTTAAATCATGTTTCCACTGACGATTTGTTTGACACACTAGTTTGGAGGTTGTGGAAGGTATGGTTGAATGTCGTGGATGTCAGGCAATATTTGGCGCAAAATTTGAAATAATTGTTGTAATATTGTATTGCAGCAGTATAATTTACGGCCATTAAGTTGTTTGACCTCACATTAAGACAACTTTAAGCTTTTAGCACACCAAACGTGTTTGAACACTACTCTAATCACATTTTAATAGAGTTGTAAGAGAATTTTGACTCTAATGTAACACGGAACGCTAAATTTAAGATAATACTTATTACCTTTATTTACATTTCCGTATTTATTACGCTTGTGCACGTGCTTGCACAATTGTACATCAATTAAACAAGCACCAAGCGCAAAGTATTGCGTGTTTCAATTCTTGTTTACCTGACGTTTGCCTGAAAGTGCACTTAAGTCAGGTCGCTAACTAGTAAGTAGTATCCGATGAGGACGATGGGGACACACCGTAAACATACTAAACACGGTTTGAATATCACGTGCGATCACGTGCAAGTTGCGTGCCAGTCGCGCAAGTTCTTTTACCTCGTTCTCTTCGCGACTTGCTGCTGGTCGTCGGTAGCAAACAACAGCCATAAGCACAAAAAACACCGTATTGCTCATTCAATCCGTTTACGTATTGCAACTTTGACACAACTGTGTCTAGAAACAACCAAAGTGCATGTGTAATTACAACGTGCAAAAACAAAACGCGAACAATAGACGAGCACAACCATTCAAAACCCAGCCGGGTATTTAAATATCAATTAAAAATTTGCATTTGTAAACTTTAAACTTGATGCATTGGAAGCGCGACGCAAATTAAAACGTAGTTGCGCTAAAAATAAGTTTACGAGGATTTTAAATAAAAATACTACGATTTAAGTTATAATTTGTTTTGATTCAGCATGCTTGAATTATAAATTATTATTGTTAATTGAGATTAGTGTGTTGGATATCTTTTTGAATAATCTAAACACTTGTGCTCACATGTGCAAATTTGAAAAGGCTAAAGGTTATTGTGAAATGTTGCCAAGTAGCCACTAGGATTCGGGGGATTCGTTAAAATCAGTACAGTTTATGTTGGTAAGCAGTGCTGATAACACCGCATTCGAAGTTATCTGCAGTTCAATAAGAAGTGAACTGGAGTTATCGATGTGTGACGACGCGACAAGGAGCTAGTGTTGATTAAGACGTGCATTGGTTTCCGTTTCGAATGGATTTCAACTTTCACACATTATAATAATGTAAGTATTACTTAAAAATTTGAATATTATTACATTAAAAATTATCGAATTATCTTCGTTTTTTTTGTGATTTATTAACGAAAAAATTGAAAGTTGGATAAAAGTTTCTTGACCATCGCATCAGCCTTGAACTAGAACTATAGGTAATATAACTGTGATTGAATAAAATATTAACTTTCAAAATTAATTAAATGATTCGACAAAAAATCATGTGGACTTTAATCTGCAAAGTATTAAAAGCGTAAGTTAAGAAAGAAAGAAATATAAACAATGAATTAATTACCATAGCAATATTTACTTGCAAACTTAACTATTTTTATGTTGAGTATTCGAACAACACTACTGGTCTTCAATAACCTGAATAACACTTTATTTGTTCACATGTGAACGCTGACTCACCGAATGCCCGAGATTGCTGAGATTGCTGTCAAAGCAGAATAAATATTTATACATTTTAATCCATAAAATTGTTAATTTATTGCACGGTCTCATAAAAATCTTTAGGAATTCACGGTAAAATAAAAAAATATTTTGGAACCATACAAATTCCTCTTAGGCCAAAAAACAATGAGAAATTAAATAAAGTAATGCCAATTTATTAACAATCAGAAATAAAAGCCATTGTATTAAATTTCAATAAAAATCACTAGAATATTATTGTAATAGCAACAATAATAAGTGTTTGAGTCATGTATTGATACATTATTTATCGGAAAAATTAGTATCTTAAACAGAACATGTCAAAGAATTAATTAGATGTGGATGCAAACCACATCTTGAATTTCCTTCCACACAAAAAAAACCTCGAACTATAATTGCTCAGCAGCCTCAGCAGATTGTAAATTTTATGCATTTAGGATTTATTTACCCAGTTTTACGATGTGTGATTTGACAAACAAAAATCGCCTTGACTTCTTTTTGCCCTCCGCATACAAGTGTGTTTTTTACATTACAGAAATATTAGTCATATTTAAACGATATTAGTTTGGAATTTCTACTAATATAAACCAAAATATTATGCTTAAAATCAAACCTGCGATTTGTTTATCGGAACAATACAATTCCAAGAAATAAATAATAAGTGTAATAATCAGATCACGGAGCAAACGCGTGATTTTTTTGAATGCACACTCAGTTATCGGAATAACAACAGTGATTCAATAGTGTTTATTAGGTAATTCTGAATTTATAACATAAAAAACATAAAATTTACCTACCAGTGATTATATTCACACAATTTTAAAAATTTACCATTGTAATGTATATAAAATAACCTGCATTCTTTAATTTTTTTGCTATTTTGAATATTTCCTAAACAGTATAATAAATAAATAATAAATACTTTTGTTTATTTACACTGTCACATGCCAAGCCGCAATTAATTAACTACGCATTATTCTTCTAGCTAATTCAGCAATATTTACCCTGTTTAAAAACCCCTTGCATGATGCATCGACCATCGTCATGTAATGAGTGTTGACAGTAATGAATAAACCGATTACGTTTAGTGGCTTGTTTAGTTACTTGTTTCTTATTATTATTATTTATTGAAACGCGTAGTACAACACACGGCGAATACGCACGCAATGTGGCTGGGCGGGATAAACGGATGTATAAATTAGTTTCTTGCGCGAGCCGGCTTCTCAATCGTCGCGCGACTCTCAAACGCGAATGGTCAGAAAACTCGCTCAACAATTACTACGTTTTTGCCAAAGAACAGTAATAAGTCAATAAATAATCAACTCACGCGTCGTGTGTAAAACTAATTCAAATTAATATTTTTTAAAAACCACACGCAACTCTTGTGTTGCTTTCTGCATTATAAAATAAAACTATAAGAAGACGTTTGAAACAAAGGCATTTGTTTTGCAAATTTAATCGGTAGCGATTGAGATAGAGAATTCATGTGTGATTCGTTTGCAAATCATACGCAAACTTGTGCGCGACGCGTACAATTCGAATTGAATTTTTGTGCTCGTTGAAAAACTACAACTTTTCGAAGCGTAAGTAAGTTGCAATTCAAATTAATTTGTATTTTTAATTTACACATGCATGTTAAAAACAAATCCAAATAAATTGTTTAACAAAGAGAGTAAATATTAATTTATAGATTAATATAAAAAAAATTGAAGATAATTTAAGATAAAAATTTGCACGTTTATTATTTGCGTCATGTCAAGGCATATTAAACGTTTAAACATTTCCTTGACTTTTAAAACACGTCGAATATTAAAACAGCCTAAACTCGTCTTAATTGCGTTATGTCTCAATAACTAATGAGTAATCTTTGCTAAAATTGCGTAAATATCTAATATTTGTCCTTCAAATAGCAAATGCTGATGATAAAAGTTAAATATTCCACTAAACTTGGTCGTAATTCGATCTATACTATAAATTGCGTAACTCACTAATTAGGTTTCGAGTAATACTCACATGGACCACGTGCGATACTTTAAAATCGAATTTGTTTGTTGATATCAGTTTTAATTAATCCATTAATCAATATTTATTTATTTCAGCTGCTGTCGATGTTTACGGATCATGTCGTCAATTAAAAGCACGCGAAAAATGTTTCCATCGACGTTTTGCTCTCTTGTTTTGTGCGCGTTGGTTTTAAATGGATGTTGGGCTTTGGACTTATTGCCGAATCCAATAACTGGTAATTACTAATAACGCATTTTTAATTTACATAAAAATAATAAACTTTGATTTGATTTATTACGCAGGCGAAAATGATGCTTATAAAACATTTTCATTCTGGAAAATCGACGATAAAGATATTGATCGCTCGATAATCTTCAGCGCCAAAACAATCGACAACCTAAAACGGTTAGAAGAAAATATTCTCAACGCGCAGATTGCTGCTCACAAGAAAATAACTGTTTCCAATGCAGATGATGAAGCGAAACAAACAGCGAGGAGTGCTTTGATTGTGGAAAAAGCAACCACACAACTAATAAGCCGTTTTTGTTACAAGTAAATCATAATTTTTTAAATTTACCAAAGACTTAAAGTAATTATTTTACTTTTTTGATAGAAACAAATTATCTACTGCTAAATGTGCACAAATTATGCATGATTACAACGCTACCAACACTGTTGAACCTGGACTTCATAAAGAATGCACTGAATTGTCTCAAGACTGCACATTTGAACAATTAAACAACAAATATCGCCAACAAAGTGGTGCTTGCAATCACAAATACTCGCCATCTTTGGGTCAGGCACTGACGACTTACAAACGATTACTTAATCCGATTTACACTGATGGAATTCACTCATTTAAGAGAAGTGTGACCAAAAAGTTTGTTTTGCCTTCAGCTCGAGCTGTTAGTGAAAGGATGATTCAGAGGGAAAGTGATAACATGCCCAGTGGACGGTTTACTGTCGCCTTTGCACATTGGGGTGAATTTGTTGAGCATGATTTGGCACAGACGGTTTCACATAAAATGGGTAAGCATTGAATTAAGATAAATAAAAGTTTTACCCGAAATGACTCGAAACCTATTTTTGCAGTACATTTTGATAGCAGTATTAACTGCTGTACACCTGATGGTAACAAGTTAGCACCCAGACATATACATCCATTCTGTAGTGCAATCGAAGTACCAAATGATGATAAATTCTATGGAGATAAAAATGTTAAATGTTTGAGTTATGTACGTTCTATGGGTGGACTGCGTGGAGATTGCAGTTTTGGTCCACTGGATCAGTTAAATCAAGCTACACATTACTTGGATGGATCACAAATCTATGGTAATGATGAGGAACAGACGAAATCACTACGGAATGGTATTCGTGGACAAATGCGACACTCACAGAATTTCTTACCGAAGGAGGAACATTTCAAGGAAAATGAAATGAAATGTCGAGAAGATAAGAATTGTTATGAAGCAGGTAATACATTAAAACAAAACAATTCGTAAATACTGATTTTACATGCTACATAAATTGATTTTTAGGAGATTCAAGAGCTAATTCCCATCCACAACTCACAGCATTACACACAATCTTCCTTCGTGAGCACAATCGCCTAGCAGAAAAACTCTCTGAACTAAATCCTCATTGGAATGATGAAAAATTATTTGAAGAAGCTCGACGTGTGCTCATTGCCGAAGTACAACATATCACATATGACGAATGGCTACCACTGCTTTTATCCAAAGACGATATGAACAAAATGGCTGCTAGAGAATATCAAGATGTCGTAAATCCAGCTGTAAGCAATAGTTTTGCTACAGCTGCAGTGAGATTCATCAAGAGTTTAATTCCTGAGAAAATTCAGTAAGTGTAGAATTTAAAAATTGTAAAAAATTTACTGATTTGTCTGTTTTAGGTTGTTTAATGAAGACAGGACATTAAACTCGTCTTTAAATTTGGGTGATCATTTGTACAAAACGCATATTATTGAAGCAATGGATTTAAATCAATTTTTGCGAGGTTTGACCACACAAAAATCACGAAAATTGGATTTAGCCTACACCAAAGATGTAAGTTAAGCAAAGAAAACACTAAAACTATAACATGGGTAATTATTAACAATATTTTCGTGTTTTTAGTTAGTTGATTTACATGGAAGCGAATTACTAGGCCTCGACGTTATCAGTTTGGACATTCAACGAGGCAGAGATCACGGCCTTCCGGGTTACAACGCGTATCGCAAATTGTGTGGTCTTCGATCAGCGAGAGTGTTTAATGATTTACTTGATAACATTGCCCCTGAGGTAATATATCACATTATTTATTACTTATTTATGAATAATTATGACTTTATTATCATAGGAAGTGAAAAAACTATCACAAGTGTACAACCATCCAGATGATATCGATTTAATCATCGGAGGACTCGCGGAAACCCCGAAAAAGGATTCGGTTGTCGGGGAAACTTTCGCTTGTATCCTGGCTGATCAATTCAGGCGGACACGTGAAGGTGATCGCTACTTTTATTCGTTCATCAACTCGCGTAAACCTTGGGAGTTTACATCGAAACAGATCGAAGAGATACAGAAAGTTACTCTGTCCAAAATCATATGTGATAATGCTGATGTAGAGAGTGTACAACCGGAAGCTTTCTTACCCATAAGCAACAGGTATATAAACAAAATAATGTCTTGACTTTATGTCTTATTTAATATTGTTTTGTTTCAGCAACCAATTGACAAAGTGCCATGATTTGCCAGGTCTTAACTTGAGCCTTTGGAAGGATTGAAAGACTGAATTTATATTAATGTGAATGTATTTTTATAAGTGAAACGTGTTTTAAATGTTTTGAACTAGTTTTAAAAAGCGAACAAAGTAAAATAGAAGTTATTCATAGGATGTATGACATATATTGTACAAATATGTATAAAATATCATTGAATAAGAAAGTTGGTACTAACCTGAAAAGTTGCAACGCCGGTTTTCTCCTGGAAAATGTTCAGGACAATCAATTCCATAATACACTTGCATCCTTAGGTCCACGGGGATGTAACGCTTCGATCAACCACAATGTTTCGCCTTTTGAAACCGGAAATTGAATGATTACAGTTTATAAATGCACAAACAACAATGTGCTACAAAACGTTTGTGCGAATCAGCTGTTTACGCAATTGTGCGCAGTGCACGCGTGCAAAGTTTATGTTTCCTCGCGGACAGAACATAATATACCACTATTTAAGAAAGGTGGTTTGATAATATGCTCTTAACAAATTAAGTAAACCTAACTGACAATCAATGCACAACGTGTTATGTTTTCATTGTTTATTTAATTACGAAAAATATGCTACTATCTCGTTTTGTTTCTTTGTTTTTCAATTCAACATTGAGAAATATTTCGAAAAAAAAATGAAGAAAAACAACATTTGTTTGTTAAAACCAATAAAGACAAGCTGCAAACATCACTTGTGCCCACTTGTACACGACCTGGGTCCTGCGGCCGCCAGCTGCAACGCGCCACCGTAAAACAGAAAATATCGCAAGAAATGTTGAACCCAAACGTCGTACAAATCATACACTTAAATCTGATAACAACTATGAAATGAATTTAACACCAGTAGCGCAGCGCCGTTTGCGCGGATTACGCACGACACACAACATTGTCACTGTTATTTTCCATTCTTTTCTCATCGCAAATCGGCGGCGCCGTCCCTTTCGCAAGCGAAACACATCTTCCTTTTTCTACATACTTACATAGTCAATTATTCAAGTACAAATCGCATTTCTCTTGCTTTATAACAGCAATTAAGTAGGATTACGTATCATGTACAAGTGTTGGAACTTACTTCTTACAATATTTTTTTCGCTTAAATTACTTAAGAACAATATAAATTCTATATAACTTAATTATAATACTGCGGCGCGTTTCGCTTGAAAAAAAGTGCGGGCGCCACCCGCGGATCGCGCGCGCCCACCGGTAGATTAGCTGCTGTCGTGACCACGTAGTTGAATTGTTTTGGTGTTGATAAAAATAAAAGTATTGTGCCTATTTCGATAAATCGCTGAGTTTTGCGCTCGCCGGCGGGTGGGAGCGTCGCTCTCGCGCAAACTAATTCGTTTAATAGATAACCTCGTAGACCGTCGCCTTCTTGTCGCCGGAGCCTGTCACGATGTATTTGTCGTCGGCGGAGATGTCGCAGGATAGCACGCTCGACGATTCCTTTGACTGCATCAAGAGACACAATGATAAATACAATACAATTCCAAAATGAAATCTACTTACTTGGAATATGCTCGCACCATATGGTGTCCTCCAGGCGTTCAACAAATTGTCTTTGCCCGTCGACACGAACCACTTGCCGCACGTGGCAAAGCGTAAACTCAACACGCAACTTTCGTGTAGATGCAGCTGATACTTGTCTGGTTTGGTAGCGTGTAGCACCTCGACGTGCGAGTTCTCCATACCGACCGCCAGCCATTCGCCGGTCGGGCAGTAACCGAGCGAGAATATCTGAGAGCTGAAGTCATGCTGTTGCAGCTGTTTGCCCTCGCGCAGGTCCCAGCTACGCACAGTGTTGTCCAGACCGCCTGTCCACAACTTAGTACCATCGGAGGAGATGTCAATACAAGAAGCGCCGTCAGTGTGGCCCTGGAACTGCCGCACCAGCGACTGATTGTGCAGGTCCCACACGGCAATGTTGCCGTCCGAGCAGCAACTGAAGCACACCTTAGAGTCGGGTGAAATTGCGAGCGCATAACACGCGGGTGCCGATGAAGTCAATTCAGCTTTAATGCGTGGTGTAGGCGACGCGAGGTCCCAGATGGAAAGGTTTGAGGCCTCACCACCGACGATAAGCGTACGCCCATCGGGGAGAAGTTTCACAGATCTAATGTAATTATCACGTTGCTAAAAATATAAATTATTAGTGTTTTCTGTGATATAAAATGAAATTAATTAATTACCAGACAATCAAGTTGTGATACAGGACTCTTCGATCCTGGCTGGCTAATGTCCCACACTTTGACGCAGCCCTTGCCGCCGGTGTAGACGTATTTGGTCGGATTTGAGATCGTGACGGCGCAAACGACCTCGCCGTGGCTCAAGGTATTTATTTGTCTCGCATGCCTTGGTATACCTGGACCTACCAAGGCATCCGCCGGAAAGGGAACCGGCTGCAGTTGTCCCTCGCCGTTCATATGAAACGAATAGGCCCTACAATCGAAAAATCACGTGTTCAATTAGCAGGCTCGTTTCATTCATCGCCAAATTTATAAAAAGGGGTCACAATAATAAGCACTTACGGTTTTCCACCTGGAATGGCACCGAGGCCGTTCGTCGCCATCGCAGATCCCCTAGCGTGCGGATGCCCGTCATAGCCCATCAGCGGGGGTCGGCCATAGGGCGAGGGCGCAACATTATTATACGGACTCATGTGGTCCAGCCGGCCGCCACCGGGTGGCCCACCATAGGGAGGGTATTGTCCCATCGCGCCTACTTTCGGCGGTGGGCCGGCTGGCCCCGCACCCAAATTCGGTGTCGTCGAACGGGGTTTCGATCCGGGCGTTAAAGGCTTCTCCTAAAATTCGATTTAATTCAATTTCCAACAATGAATAAAACGTGTATTGTGAAAGAACTTACATCTTTGCTCTTTAGAGAGGGCGTGCTCCTCGATGATGAAGAACCACTCCGACTGGGCGGCCGTTCCATTTTCACTTTATCGCCGTTCGTGCTGCCATTTTCACGAATTTCATTGCCAGGCCCGCCGAGCGCTGGATGCTCCCCATTCGGATGCGGTGATTGCGCCTCCTGCAAACCATTGCAATCAGTTGCCAACCACAAGAAGCAAAAAAAAAACATAATAAAATAATAAAATAAAGACTAAGTACATACCTCGTTTGCCACATCCACCACCAGATCTTGATCGCTCTTTTCACCATCGCTTTCCTGGAAGTAATCCAAACACATTAGTGTCACCATGAAATATTAACACACGATGATAAATTACGATAACATAAATGTAGGTCATTACAACTAAAATAATACATAATACACGACATGATGGCGACAGAATGCTAGGGCTGTAACTATCGATTACTCTTTTTAAGTGACCATCCAATTGCGGGCGGTTTATGAGCGTCTTAAAAGAAAATCGCATTGCAAATGCACATGCGACCTCAGTGTAGAAACGTGTGTGTGTAAAGTTTGTGTAAGAAATGTCGCTGTCCGGCAAGTAATTGTAATAAATAAATAATTCAATCGCTCCTAAATGGCGCCCATTATAATCGAAGCAAGCGCAACGAGGGCGGGCGCATAAAACGCGCGCGCCCCTAATGTTTATATCGAGGATCGTTATCGTCGTGTTTCCATCGATGTTATTTTACCAGCAATAATGGGCGAATAACGTTAGCGACTAACTAAATGGCCATTCGGGCACAGCATGTCCACGAAATACGTTAGTATACCAAACATGATAAAATAAAATAAAATTTTTAGGATTATTCGCACACACTCTGTATATTTTAAGTAGTTTGTTGTCGATACGCGACTACCGCGATGGCACATAAATGTTTAATCAAGCACTTTGCATGTACATTTCAAAGCAATCAAAATTTCCTTCATTATTCCTTGAGCGCGCGCGTTTCTCAGCTTTAATTTTTTATCGCATAGTTTTTATAAAGATATTACCGTCGTGGGTAATTAATTATGAAGTAATGTAGTCGCCGTAAACCTACACAAAACATGAATAAATGTAAATATTACACGCGCACAAAGAAATATAAGAAATGTTTGAAAATAATCATAGAAGAAGCACAGAGAAGAAAAAAAAAAACGTCGTCGTTGAAGACAATGAAAAATATTTGGAAGTCAAGTCGGCGCGCGCAAAGAAGTGTGTTTAATAAAGATAATTGTCTACAAAGGGTGACGACGCCTGTGTCCTCCGAGCGTGACGACAAAAAAATAACCGAGAAGGCTGTGAAGAGAAAAAAAAGCCATGGCGGTTAATAGCTTGAAGCAAGATGAAACAGCGCGACGAGAGATGCGAGAAAAAACGTGCGCCCGAGACCGACGACGACAAAAAACGAAACATGATTTTGTGGCTTCTGCTTTCGTCGCAGCTTCTCTCTGCCACTCGTGGCCCCGATGCGACAAGTCGGCTCATTTCATAATTAAAATTAAAATCCCGGACTGTTTTTTTTTTGCCTTCCTCTCATCCTCTTCCATGAAGAACATGTACTCATGCGCTTAGCATAAGTCTGCGCCTCGGTCATTTCACTTTAATTATCGTTTTAATCTCGTTTTCTTTCAACTCTTTGCGAGGTACGCGCGCGCGCGTCAAAGGAAAATAAGTTCGTTAGCGGGCATAGAAAGATATGAATTTATAAATTTTATAAGTGTTCGTAATTGCGCACTAAAACCCCGTTCGAAGCGGATTGAAAATGCGCAGTGGTTGTTGGAAATGAAGCGGGAAAAACCACAAAACGTCGACGGCAACAAGGAGAGCACGAGGAAAACCTCGAATCCGGGTCGAATTTACCGAAATCCGAAAACCTTTCGCACACACACACACATATACGCATATATACTACATTCACATCCGCGCGCATCCCCATTTGCCGTCCTCACAATCGAACCCGTTTTACTTCCACCCCGGTCGCTGGCGTCGCTCCTTTTCGTCTCTTTCGCGTCGTCGCTTCAATGCGAGATCCTTTTATTTTGTTATTCGGTTATTCCGCGAAGCCGAAGGAAACGTTCGTTCCTTTTTCGGTTCGCTTCATTGCAATGCCATTCGCATCCCACCCGCCGCCGCCACCGCCACCCCCGCGCCGCGTGCGATGTGGGAAAACTCGGGATAGACATTCCGATAAATAATAGTCGTCGGTTTTGCCCAGATACTCGCCTGCTTTCTCGAGCTTTTCCCTCGGTTTGCCTCTGCGCGAACCCTCGTCGTCCGAATTTCCAACTTAAGAACTCTCGCTCGCAAAGTAGGAAAACGTAAACGCTGCGACAAGTAAGAAAAGGAAGACATCGGCGTGGAAAAAGCGAGAGAAGAGTGTAATATCGATCCTATTAAACGGTGGAATACGCTCAAACCGAACCCGAAGAACATCTCGGCAAGCACAGCGCGCAAAGAAAAACGTTTGTTTGTGTGTGCACGGCGGCGGCTGTCGGGAGGTGGAGGATATGAAGAGCATCTTTCGCCTGCTCGCCTACTTTTCGGTACTTTCGTACTTTCGCTCGAGTTGTTCATTATGCGCTCCGCGTCGCCAGCCGCGGGATTACAAATTTCTTCCTAGTTTTTTTCTTCTTCTTTGCTTTCCTTCTCTTCTCTTATTTGATGTTATTAGGAAAGTAGTTCGCTTCGCAAGTAATATAATTTCGTTAATCTTCAACAGTTTCCGCACCAAACCAAACAAAGTGCGCTAACTATTATAACATCAAAACTGAGCGAAGAAGAAGAAAAAAAAAAAAACAAGCAAAGGAAGAGAAAACTTCCTCTGCTCGCAGTTTAATGGTATGTAAACCGCTAAGTAATTCGTTTCAATCGCATTATAAAAGCGGTTTTTATGCGCGGTGTTGAAGAAGTCGTGTGTTCTCGCTTGTAGAACATTCTCGAACGCAATGACCCATAACAATCGACGATCGCGCGCTAGTCGTGATCGTGATTACCCTCGAGGAGGTTCTTTTCGCGCGCAGAGTTCATTGTTGGCCATCTAACAGGCGGGCATGAACCGATTTGCGTTGCAAATTACTTTGATTTAATACCGCATAACAACTAACATTAATAACACTAATCGTGGAGTTATCAAAGGCTACACTCTCGAACAAGTTATTGATCACTCGGAACAATGCGCCACAACACGCGCAAAAACGAAATGTGCAAAATCATTGACAAACAACAAAATACGCAGCAAACGCAGAGTGCGCGCCGAACAAAATGGCATCCGCGTCCATTTCGTCCTTTTCTGACAAGTTTTCCAGTCTCGAACAGACGCGCAAAACGAACCCGAATACAGAGAAAATACAAAAAAAGTTGAAAAAAAAAAAGAACGAAACGAAAAACGCCGGAGCGCGCTCGCTCGGGTCGGATGATACACGTATGAATAGAATGTTATATGGAATGTAGCGCACGAGGTGGCGGCGGCGGAGGTGGCGCGGTGGGAGAGGCGGTTATAACAAACGAACAACTCGACGCCGGGGGAGGCGGCAATATGTGCGCCGTTTTGTACGTGTGAGATATGTGAGTGGCGCTCCGCTTGCGCGCCAGAGACGAGTTTTTAAAAATCGATTTGCCGGCACCGGGGCGCAAAAAACGCATAAAAAGGTAGGAAAAAACACACGAACGCGCGCGCTAAGAGAATGAAATGGGCGCGGCAATTGTTCATTTTGACATGTATTCAAAATATAAATGGACGCGCGTAAAACATTTGTCCGAAATGTTTGAAAATAGCTAGCGTATGGCTGGACGTGGAAAACGGTATCAAATTGAAACTTACATGTCCCATTTTGTCTTCTTTTCTTCGCTTCATATCGCTGTCGACATCAGCTGGTGATCGCGATCTGTATTTATCTCTTTCAGCAGGTGATACCGAATTCTAATAGTAAATAAAAATGATTTAGTTTATCCGAATACAAAGAAGAAAAGAGTCAATTTATTTACCAGTCTTTCTTCTGTGTTAGCAGATCCAGGTCCAGCTTTAAGGTCGGCCGACTCACGCGCATGCAGATCCGACTTAAGCAGCGGATGCGCACCACCAGCGGCTGCAGCCGCCGCCAAGCCAGCAGCAGCTCCATGCGGACCGCCGGGAGCACCCGGCATTCCAGCCCCAAAGCCTAATAATTGCGCGGCGGCAGCGGGGCCCATTCCAGGCAGCCCCGGATGCGGACCCATCGGCAATCCACCAGGGCCATGCGCCCCATGTGGCAACTGCTGCGCGTGAATTTGTTGCTAGAAGAACGAAACAACGCCGTGAACAACACAAAATTCACCAAATACAAAGAACGCGCACAATTACACATAGATTGTTAATGGACACATTGTATATATTTATAAATATCTCTACCACCTCATCGTAGAAACTAAAAAATAACTAAAACCAAACTAACTGTATAAATAAAAAAAAAATAGAGGTAAAAGTACAACGCACCACACAAAAAGTAAGTAATGAAAACAAGGTGTGAGAGATCAAAAACAAACACAGCACAAACTAAAAGTGTACAAAACAAAGCTAACTAAAAACAACTTAAAAAAAAAACAACAAAAACTAAAGGATAAATAATTCGACTAATAACTACTTACAAGCAACTGTTGTAGACCTTGCTGTTGTTGTTGCTGTAAACACACAACAACACACAAATCATTAAAAAAACAAAATAATTCGCATGTGACACGCGCTGCTTCATTCCGTCCCAAGAAATAAGGAGAATAACAAAGAGATAAGAGAGAGAGAAATAAAATATAAATAATAATAACAACATTCGCACCCTTCACCCAGTCTTGCACAAAACGTCTACCATCATTCCACCCAAAACACACCATCCACCAAAAAAACAAGAACAACATCCTCATCAATAAAATCCATTCGTTACACAAACGTTACGGTACCAGATATACAAAACAAAAATAATTTAAATATATAGGTAATAAAAACCGATACGACACAATATAGAGCGAACCGATTCCGCTTTACGACACTACAATAAAATAATAAATTTCATACATTATTTAAATCACGAAATAAACATAACCTTTTTTGAATTATGTCGAATTATAAAATATGAAAACGAACAAAACAAATGTATTTACTGATAAGGAAATCAATCCAGCTCCACACCATACTAAGTAACATGTTTATACAGGGTGTTTACGAGAATTATATTACAAACCTTGTGTGCGTCCGTATTATATTGCAAATGTTTGAAAATATTGCAGAAATAAATATTTTTTGAAAAAAATGCAGAGTTGTGCGGAAACACCCTGTATAAATTAATAGGCATTGCCCTACAAGCAAACAATTGCATTCGCGGATGATTTCCTCCAATTGAATGCAATTATTCGCATATTAAGCGCGCAATCGCATTATTCTTTTATACGTCGTAAAATTACTTTCTCGCAACTTGACGACTCGATAACATTTTTTCGGACAATAAGAATTTTCGTCGAATGAAAAACTGCGATTCAATTTATCGAGTAGACATTTCAATAAAATACCTACGCGCGTAAAATCGAAATAAAAATTATATATATAAAAACAGAAAAAATATCAACTAAAATGAAACAATAATCATAACTTAAATTTGAAATTGTAATGGTTGAATTATGAGGGAGTTGGAACATTTCAGAGTTGGGTTTAGGAGTAATTTGTAAGCGGAAGTGGTGTGTGCGAGTGTAGGTGTGGGTGTGTGTATGAGCGGGGGTGTTTTGAGGGTATCGAAAGTAATAGTGCTCGGTCGGTCGGTCGCGCCGAAGCCAAAGCTGCGGTAGCGGCCGACGAGGGAAGGGAGGCGGCGGCGGCTGGGTGTGTTAGATAATTGAAACTTACCCCGATGATGGCGTTCAATTCGGTCATGGTCACTTGCTTGGCGCGCTCGACCGCCGACGCCACCTGCTGCTGGTGCTCCTGCGCGAGGAACGGCAGCACTTGGGCGATGATCGCGTTGAGGCGCTTTGCGATCTCAGTCTGTTTGTGCATTTCGACGTTAAGGCCATACGACATTTCGTAGTACTGAAAGAAATAATTATCATTAAATTTAACATCATTTTAAATGAATTATCGTTTTTTTTCTTCTTCAAAGTTTTCATTTTTTAAATTCTCATAACTTAGACAAAAAATAGGAGATCCAATTTTTTTTAAAGGAAATTTTGTTATTTTTAACATAAATAGTTTAAAAATCGTATTTCTATTAAATTTTTATGTTTATTATGGAAAATTTGAGGAAAAAACATTGAATAACCTTTTTTATTATCATTTTAAATAATAAACTGTCACTCATTCCAGAAATTTAATACATGATCCGATAATTGAACAATGACAGGACCTATTTTATTTTTACAACTATTTTTCCATAAAAAATTAAATTAAATTCAGTCAGTAATAGATTTATGTCTAACTCTTAAATATTCCCTAAAATAAGATAAAACATGATGTAACTTATCTCGCGGAACAAAAACAAATACCACCCACCCGCTCTTCAGAGGAAAATATATCGCGAACTGTACGCGAATCGAATATAAATAGAAATCGAATCGAAAGCCGGAAAGCTCTCCGCGACGCGCACCATAGATGATATATGTTTGCATTATATTGGACACATTTTCCATATTTTCATATTTCCACCGGCGAAGGAAAAAGCCGAAACCGAAAATAAGCAACGCATCGGAATAAATAACGACGAGACGCGAAACGGAACGGAGAGAGCACCACACGGCGGCCGCGGCGAGCGTGCGGCTGGAATAATGCATCGGTCGATGTGTCAGGACTCAGGACGACGCGCAACGCGTCCGGAATTTATAGCTTCGAAAATCAGTATTTTCCCTCGGCGGCGCGAGCATTTTTCCTCCCGAACATAATTCACTGCTTTTCGGCGGAGGCGCCGCACACACACATTCTCACATCGAAATCGCATCAAATCGAAAACATCTATATCTAAATAAATACACGCCGGTGTATAATGGATAAAAGGTATAATGTAATACATTAAAGGGAAAATCAATTTCGAATTTTTCCAAGCGGTGGAAAAATTAATTTAAAGCGCCGGGGTCGGGATTTCGGCGCGGTAAATTGATGTCTAAATATTGATATTGGCTGAAGGTATTAGTCGAGCATAACTCGAGGATCGCGCAGGCATCATTAACCTTCCAGCAGGTATTAATATCGGGACGAGTGGGGAAGGATACTCGACCCGCGTGAGAGGCGGCAGGCAGCGGGGGTGCTGGTTCGCAGAGCGTGAGCGAGAGCAGGAGGTGAGCGCAATGAAGCGCCAAAGTTGGCGCCGCCGCGACACCGCAAGTGATCTATATTTCATAGCCGCGCGGCTTTCAGACTTCGCCACCTACGGGAAGAGAGCGAGAGCGGCGCGCACACACACCTTCAACTCAGGTAACCGCCCCTTTGGCTCGCTATTTAATAGTGATATCTCTGACGGATGACGGATCAGCGAATGCCGCGACTCTCGAGGCGAATAAACTAACTGATGGCACGGTGAGGTGGCAAGATGCGAGAGAAGAGAAGGACGGCGGGTGTAGGTATAAAGCCGACTCTCGTCGCCGGTAATCGATACGAATACACACACGAAAAGTACTAGGTGTGTTGCGCGACGCGACATGATGCGACACACACCGCCCCCGAGTGTGTCGTCTCCGTGTGCTCCACATTTTCGCCACCGCGCGCGCGATTTATGTTGCTCGCGCGCAAACATTCAGAAAACGAACGGGCGGCGGCGAAACGCAGAGCAAAGGGAAGCGAGCGAAATGATGACAAAATGCACGAAAACAAGCGCGCAAATAAAAGAACGAGGGTGAATGAAATATCGACGAAGGGCTTTTAACCTACTCAGCACCCCCCAGCATTAAAACGAAACATCTCTTAGAAAATTAATTAATACTCACCATAACATAATGTCGTTGCATTTCAGTCTTCTCGCTGGCTAGCTTCTCACATTCCAACTTTAATCTGCAGACAAACGAGAAAAATTATCACTTAGGTATCGTAATTGCGTTGTGCATTCGCCTGGGTTAATTAATTTCGCACAAAAACGATTTAACGATCTAACGTGACGTAATTGAAATTGAAAGCGCAAAGCGCCGATGAAGAACAAGACGTGCAATAAACTATAGATAAACGTTTCGCGAATGAACCAAGAAGGAGCTCATCTCATCTATCGCGTCGCACGCGGCGCGCGGCAATGAGGAAGCAATTTCGCCAATACCGATTTCATTCGGTGTTCGCGCCGGCCGAAAGTACCGCTCAACTTATTCGTCGCGTTTTGCTAATGAAGCAAAGAATTAATTAGTGGAAGGTGATACTTAAATATATGAGGAAATTGATGTTGTTTTCTATTGATGTTGAAATTGAAGTGGCTGGTACTTACGAGTGATATTGTGCTTGCAAAAAATTAAACTCCTCCTTTATCCGCTCCAGCGTGTCGGCGATTGTGAACTTGATTTGTCCTGCCTGCGGTGGAGGACCCTGCAATGCAAACAAGAAACAAAATTAGTCACAAAATCCACGATTACGGAATTATTTTAACCTTTTCTTTGGACTTTTGCATTTATTACTAGTGTTTGTCTACTACGTGTCCGTATTCCTTATCATTTCTTGCCGCCACTTTAATGATTTACATAACTTTGTATTTTTATTTATTAATAACGCACTGGATAACAAGTTAGTTCCGTTTTTGGTTCCTCAAGAGACAATTTACGTCAATTGAAACCTCGAAGATTTCAACGGAGTAAAAAAGTTAAGTGTAGCAACAGAAGTCAAAAAGTCATCGTGACACATACACTCGCACTGACACACACACACACGTAGGTATATACGTTGTCGGCGTCGCCGCCGCCGGCCGCCCTCGCGCTCGCAATGACTCTATCGCGTCGAGAGAGCGATGAAACGAAGCGGCGCGCACGCGAGGCCAGCGAGACGAGCGATGACTGGAAACTGGATGCGAGAGGCGAAAAGAGCGAAGAGCGCAGAGAGAACACACAGAGGGAGATGAGGGGCGGCGAGGTGAGGTGGTAGGCAGCAGCGGCGGCGGCGCGCGAGTGAGACGCGACCGCCGGAGATGATGATGAAACGAAACGCACGCAGAACGCGAAACATGAAAACGCAAAGCAAAGGCGAAAGCAAAGAGCGCGTCGCTTGTCGCTTTCCATCGTTCCGGGACGAGGACGTGTGGGGGCGGCGGGCTGGCGGGTGGTTAGGGTGCGCATACGGAGCGGCAATCATACGCGCAACGACACTCGTATAACATTTCAATCGCCGACAAAGTCAAAACTATATCAAAATCATAAAACTATCAAAGTTATCACATAAAAAATCATAACCAGTAATAATTATTTCCTAGTATATTTAAAACACTCTGTATATAAATATGTTTAGAAGAATCTCCCGTATCACGCTTTTTTCGTGCGCAGCGCGAAGAGATAGAGATGTGAACTCGTCTAAACAAAACAAGGCGAACATCGACGAACATAATGACACACGTATAACGCCGCCGCGCCGGTGGGTGGGTGGCGGGCGGATGTGTGTGTATGTATGTATGTATGTGAAGAGAGTGTGCGCGCTTTAATCCCTTCGCTCGCCGCCTCCATACGAGAGGCGGGCGCGCATCGTCGAGGACCCGACAGAAAACAGCAACAGTAGCAAACGCTACTAACGCCAGCCAGCAATCAGCTCGACGCTGCCACCGCACACCGCACGCCACACCACCGACCCAATCCACCCCGACGCCGCCGCCACCGCCGCGGCGCTAGACGGAGACGGCAAAACTCCACAAACCAGAGAATCTCATTTTTCTCTTTATCCCAACATCCTACCCTCCCTCCCTCCTCCCACTCTCGAGGGGACATTCGAATATATCTATAAAACCAGCGCGCGCGAGAATAGAAAGAGCAAGTGTATAGGTGCTCGGGGGCGGTGGGTGTGGGGAGGGCGCGCGACGCAAACGTAACGAAAACGGGACGGAGATCGATGTTATCCTGACGTCACGCGTCACGGACGCGCTTAATGCTTATTCACTCGGTCGACACGCGCGAGACGAAGGGGGCGGTCGGCAAAGAGCCACCAGAAGCATGCTATATATATATATCTATATGTGTGTGTGGGGCGCTCTATCAACAGCCACCGCCGCGCCGACCGCCGCCGGTATCGCCGCCACCATCGCGACTGCGAATTGCCATTGTTCCACGCGCGCGCTCACTCGCATTCCGCGCGCGCGAGGGCGGCGAAAGAGACCTTAACCACCGCCGCCGCCGCGCGCGGAAAAAGGACGGCGGGCGCGTGTAATGTGGGGATTTGTACGAGGGTAATAGTTTCGCGCAGTGTCGTTTAGAAAACGCCAACGTATGTGTTGATCCTTCTTGTTACCCGCTCAACTTTACTTGTGTATGTTTTTATTTTCGCTCTAATTTTCGGGGCGACAAAAAAAAAGAAAACTGTTTTATTTTCGCTTTAAAGCAGCGGACGAAAAACTAATTAATAAAAATCCTAAACGGAGACCTACTTAAAGACTCGTCGTCCCTCATCCCAATTTCCCTCGTGTTCGCGCTTGTTTTACCCTCCTCCTCCTCCCCCTCGGTGCTGCACAGTCGCCGCCAGCCGCCACCTCTCACCTCCTCACCTTCCGCCCCTACACCCGCCCCCAAAAAGACTAAAGGACTTTCATCGTTTACGATCGTCGTCGGTCGCCACTTGGGTGCTGCTCGTGTGCAAGCGGCGGCGGCGGGTGGTTGCGGGGCGACCGTGGCGGCTGCGGCCGTTGCGGAAAGAGAGAGACTTCCCTCTCCCTCGCGTTCGGCCTCCGGTGTCGACCGAGTGTACACCGTCGGCGCGCCGCCGCCGCTGTGCCGGGGTATTAATTTTCATACGCTCTCGTGGTTACGTTGATTGCATTTTAGGGTTGTTTGATTACCTACCTACTGATCTGCCGCCGCCACCGCTCTGCGCCTCTCCCACCTCTCCACACTAGTAGTGGCGGGGCGCGCACGCCGGCCTTTATCTTTTCAACTAGTGCCGCCGCCGCCGCCGCGATCTTACAATGGATTTACACGCGCCACGCACATACTTAGCGCTTAGCGTTTGCCGCCTCCATTGATTTTAACTCGAGACAAGTGTGGAGGAGAGGCTGTTACTTATTAATTAAAATCGACTTACTACCGTGTTTCAAGAGGGTCGCAAAGAATGCAATTAGTGTGACACACATTTTATCTAGGACACTTGATTAAATTTAAAAACAAACCTAATCCTACTCCGCACTAGAAATTCATTCATTTACGGACTGTAAAATGAATCAATCATGATTAAAATTGTGTAATGTTTAATCGATGATTAGACTTCACTCAGGTGGTGGCGAATTATCACCGATGCGATCTGTGTTTATCGCACATTATCCATCACATCAACAACCAAATAACAACACAAAACGTCAGCCGCAGAATGTAATCGCTTTCAAAGTGGCGATCTCCGCACCTCTCGAGCGACCAAAGTGTGACAAGTGACGCGCACTTAAATATTTAATGAGCGAACTATACTATAACACCCGTAAAATCTAGTTTTGTGTGTTGAAAAATGTGCAATGAGCACATAAATACCAAAGCAAATAAATGAGACAATAGAATTTTGTAACACACATATAAAAATCGTTAGCACACGAGGAAATAATTAAATAATGAATGATTTGAAAAAGCGACACAATATAACAACGTGAAACCCAAAACATACAAATAGAGATAAAAAAAAAACACAACACTGAGCTAACAAACAAACGAACATCACTATAGTTGTAGTTTTGTTCGGCCGCGTCGTCGACGAAACAATTAACGGGTTTAATTGTCTGCAATAAACACTTGTTAATGAATTTCGAGTTATTTTCTACTTTACACAACAACCAAACATCCTAACCGAATGCATTATATAAAGAAAACCGATAGTTCAGAGAAAATCAGATACTTGGATGGCAAAAATTAATCTGATTGTATTTTTATTAATTAGTAGAAAATATTCAAGATATAATTCTATAATTCTGATTAATTGATTCTATATTAAATTCTACATAATACTGGAAAGTATCATGTTGATTGCTTCATTAAACAAAAAGTTATTAATAACTAAAGTTCAATTTGGTATAAAATTCAGCAGAATTTGATACAAATTGTGTTGTAACTTGTGATAAGACAATGTAATCAATCAAATTTATATATAATTATACCCCGAATTTATTACTAAGCTGTTTCCTAAAATAATCATCCATATTCGTTAATTGCTTTCCATTTAATTAATTTAAAAAAAAACTACGTTGAGATAATAAAGCATACAATTTATTCTTAATTTGAATGAAAATTTCATCATTCAATAAGTATCTTTACTCGTCGTTTTTATATCCAGCTAAAATTCTTGTTTTCCTTCCACGAGAAGCAACTCGAACAAAAACTCAACTTCCGGAAGAGTGCGCCAAAGAAGTAAACTTTGTCGAGTCGACCCCCTTCTCCTCATACCCTCAAAACAGGATTTAAACTTTAATTGGAGTTAAATCTATCAGAATCGTTGCAACATTTCACCCCTTTTTAAGCGGTTCAATTTTTCATACTAATGGGGCGGGCGTGCGAATTCCGGCTTCGATTTCGGACGTGAATAAATGAACACCGAGAAAAAAAACCCAACACAAAACATCGACGACCAGCCCGATACTAATGCAATAATTTCGAGTGCTTTTCAAACGCAAGCAACTCATCGCGACAAGTGGTGCGACATCGAGCAATATTGATTAACACGATCGATAAAAAGGCAGCGTACGAGTGTGACTATGTGAAATATTAATGTAAACATATTAATCCAGCATATACCAAGTGTCGAGTTGGCGCGATTAAAATTACCGATTCGATTAATTAGTAAATGATTGCTTTGCAGCGAAATAAAACACTTAACGATAAGTGTGTTTGCGGGTAGATAGATAAACGTCGGCGATTCAATGAATCAGCATTAGCATTCGCGCACACACGATGCGGACGTGGAATTATTTCCCAAGAAGCACTTTTCAAGCAGTCATCAGATTTCTAAACATTTGCGCAGACACACACGCAGTCAAAGCAAACAAATGACATTTCCGGTGTAAAATATCATATAAAATGCGCAGCGCGGCGTTATCATCACTTACCTATTTATTTACACAGAAAGACATACTGTATATCCGCATGATTCATAACAGATTCCGAAAATCGCCGAGTGCCGAAAATCAAACCAATCTAAACACTAAACAAACTCAAAACTCCAAAGTGACACGACGATAGCGAGAATATAATCGAGGGTCGCGTGTGCAATGTGTAATCTCGATATAAAAATAATGCGCGTGTCAACAAATTAATACACAGCGCGGCGTTTATCGTCGGCACATGAACAGTTTGAGTAAATTTGTTTTATTATAATGATAATAAAAAAAAAAAAAAAAAGAATGTTTTCCAGGGAACAATACTTGT